GCCAACAAGTTCGGGACGAGACTGACAGCTCGCTCGCCCATTCGTCACCCGCGCACCTGCATATGCATGAGGGGGCGGGGCCCCGCTGCGGGGTGGGGCCGGGGGGGCTGGGGGCGCCCAGAGCTTTAAAGGCGACGAGGGCGCGGCCTGCTTGCTGAGCTGCGGGCTGCGGGACGCCGGGACGGCAGGGCTGCGGGCTGCGTCCCTGCTCCAGCCCCAGCCCAGCGAGGTGGGGCTGGCACAACAAGGCAGCCTCCGCTGTGCTTGAGTTCCCCCCGGGGTCAGGAGACAGGAGGTGGGGCGCCCCCTGAGGTCACCGCTGTGGTCCTCTCCCATCAGTGCGCCTCCACCGCACTGTTGCAGGTCCCAGAGGAGATGCCGCCTGCTGCGCAAATCCTCTCGGCCGAGGGATGGGCGCGGCCCCGGGACTCGAGCGGGCTCAGCCCCTACTTTGCGCCCCTTTCCCCAGAGAATCTTACCCAGCTCATCCCTCCTGCCTCCTCCGTGCCGGCTGCAGGGGGCGCTGCTCCCTTCTGACGCCCTGGCCCTCCCCTCCTCGAGGCACGCGGGTAGAGCCGCCAGTTCACAAATGCTTCTGGGTGCAGGCTAGGTGCCCAGCTCGGCACTGGCATGGGGTCGCCAGGCCCTGCCCTCGAGGAACGCCCAGGCCAGAGGTCCGGGCTTCGGGCGGGGGGCGCAAACAAAAGCCGGTGGAACATGTCCAGAAGGGCTGTCTGAAGAGTATCCTCCTGCTGCCGGTTTGCCAAGCCCTCTGTCCCATCCCTCTGCCATCACTTCCTTGCACTCTCCCTAGGTGATCTCTCTGCTCCTTCTACCCAAGGTCAATACCAAGGGCTCCTTGTCTGCAAACAGCCTCTCATCCACTGATCAGGACCCCTTCCAGGGCTGAGGTCACCATGATGGTTGGATATCCCCATACTGGAGAAAGGTTTCTGGTCCCATCCCCACAGTAGCTGAGCCGTCCTCTCTCCTAACTGCTCCCCAAATCTCTGGTCCCGGGGATTAGTGTTGATGGGTTGCCCCTTTCCTAGACCAAGTCATTGCCAATGAGGGGGCTTCCTGGAGCAGAACTTTTGGAAGCACAGATGCCCCCCTAGATTCAGGGGCTGGGCTGTCAAGAGGGAAGAGGGCATAGAGGTGCTGCCCTCCCTCTCTAGGCTGTGCCTGGTAGCCTGCCCTGGGGAACCAATGCCCTGGGAATGCCCCCACACCCTATCCACCTACCCTGCATGCCCCCTGCAGGAGCAGGGGCCCCTGAAGGAGAGGGCTAGAGTCCCTGGTGATCACAGCCTCTGTTTCTGCTCAAAGAGCTCCACCCCCACCTGAGTCTCCAGCTTATGGCGGGTAGGGGGCACAACACAAGCCAGGCCTGCCCACACACAGAGACCCCTGCCAAATAAGGGAATCTGAGCTGTATCCAGAGCCTTTCAGTCACTTTCTTCCAATAAAAGGGGGCTCTGAGTGGGGATGCTTCCTCTCCTTCACTCACCTGGAGAGGGGGTCCCATCTCCATCCCTGCCTATGCCCTCTGCCCTGCTACCCAGGAAGGTCTGGGAAGTCCCTACAAGTGGTAAAAAGGCAATCACAGCCCCTGCCCACGGTCAAGGACCTTTCTGTTCAGGGGTGCATAGGGACTTAGACAAATAATGTAGAACAACAAACCACTTCCCAGAAGCTCTGTGGAGACCCAGAAGGTGGGCATTCAGGTGAGGAATGGAAACAGCATGTGTCAAGGCCCTGGGGCCAAAGAAGCTTGACCTGGCAAGGGCCTGGGTGGGAGTGGCAACTAGGCCAAGCCACTTGGAGACTGTAGTCCTCCTGCCGAGACCAAGGGGAAGTCTGAGAGCAGCTGAGCTGGGCAACATGGCAACTTCCATTTTCACCAAGAGCCCTGGCTGCAGACAGGAGAGGAGCACAGGGGCAGGGGCAGGGGCAGGGCACTGCCACAGTGCAGGTGACAAGGGCTGGTAGCCAGCTAGCACCTGGCAGTGTAGGGGCTGAGAAGGGGGAATGCATAAGGGAGACAGAATTCAGGCGACAATCTCCCTTGCCCCCCTCCCCTGTCCGCTGCCCTGGTTTCCTGCGCCCAGGCAGCTCACACAGTGGTGTGCTGACAGGGGACCCTGCCCAGGCCCGTGAGCATGGCCCTCCCAGGAGGGGTGCTCACTGCCCCTAGAGAGGCAAGCATGGTCAGGCGCAGTGGCACACGCCTGTAATCCCAGCGGCTTGGAAGGGTGAAGCAGGAGGATTGCAAGTTCAAAGCCAGCCTCAGCAACAGTGGGGCGCTAACTCAGTGAGACTCGTCTCTAAATTAAATACAAAATTGGGCTGGGGGTGTGGCTCAGTGGTCAGTGCCCCTGCGGTCAATCCCTGTACCAAAAAAAAAGGCAAGTGTGCCCAGCAGGGAGCAGGCAGCTTCCTCCTGCTGTCCTGCCTTTTGAAGAGCAGGGAAATGGTGATCTGGCCCCTCCGGCCTCCATCCAGGCCCTCTGGGAGTAAGACCTAGGTCTCTGTGGCCAGGGCAGCTAGTGAGCATCTGAGCAGTACCAGGGGTCAGTCCCTGCCTTCCTGCCCAGGATGCCACCGGCTAGGTACAGATGCCCCTCCCCCTCAAGGTAACCTTCCTCTCCTGCCTGCAGGGAGCCACAGCCCGGACCTGATGGTGTCCAGGAAGAGCCGCAGGTCCAGAAGGTGCCCTTGGGGAGAAACTGGGCACTATAAAGGGGCTTCTTCCCTCCTAGGTCCCTCCCGAGAGGGTTGCCACAATCCACAGGCGAGAAGTGCTGAGGAGGTGTGCAGGTTCCCAGAAGTCAACAGCAGTGACAGATTTCAGTACATGTGACTCTCGTGCTGTACCCTGCTGGCTTGAGGGGACTGGAGATCCCTGGCCACCACTCAGGCTGGGCCAGGTTGTCCAGCCCCTCCCTGGAGCCTGCTTGGTTATGCTGCAGCCCACTGAACCACAGTGTCCCTCTGTCTCTCAGCTTCACCCACCCGCTGCCTGGAGGACCCTTTCCAAAGCTTAGCTTGTGCTGGACAAGGCACAGAAAGAGGGGGAGCCACTTGGCCTTGCCAGGGGCTTCAGGCCCAGGGGACATTGCTGGGGACCAGGCTGGGACCAGACAGCCTGAGGTTCAGAGCTGACTGGGCTCAGGAGTGAACTGTGCTTCCGCCAGCGTCCTGTGGTGCTAAATATAGCCATGGGCCAGGGAGGGGAGTTTCCGGTTACAGCCCCCCCCAAACAGTGCCGGGAAATCGATGCCAGCTCCATCAGGCCAGGCAGCCGCGCCTGCTGACCTGCCCATCAGGCTGCAGAGCAAACCCAGGGGATGAACTGCACCCAGATCCAGATGCCCAGGGACCACCAGGAGCTGCCAGGCCGACTGGAAGTGAGGGAGACAGGGTGGGGGTAGCTGGGGCCTGGACAGGGCTTCCTCTGGGCAGGTGAAGCTGAGTGGCCAGGACCCCACTGCAGCCCAGCCCAGTCTGTCTCTCCTGCCAGTCTTGTCACTTGCTTGGCTGGGCTTCCACAGGTCCCACCTGGAGGTAGCCAGCATTTACATTTGCATACAGGTGGTGCGGCCTGAGTGGGCCCCTCAGCACAGCCTCCTCAGGACAGCCTGATGCTAGGCCTCCCCAGGCCACCCAGCACTGCGCTGCAGGTGTCCCCTGGGTTGCTGCCCAGGCCAGCAGGAGGGGAGGGCCTGCATGCCCTCCACATTCAACCTCACCTGCCTGCCTGTCTGGCTGGGCCCAGGACAGGGAAGAGTGTGGGAGGGAAGGAGGCCCCAGCCCTGCACCAGCATTTGCTAGTGGAAGCCATCCCTTCAGGTCAGGGCCTGGTCCAAGGGGACACTGGACACAGAGCAGCAAGTCAGGATCACAGCAGAGCTCCTGGTCCCTCCAGCTCCTGTTCCAACCTGCCTAGGGAGACAGCACTCCTAGGCACCTCCACCTTAGGGTCCATGGGCCATGACCCTGCTGCCCCACCTGCCAGGGTGTGGCCCAAGAGTTCACTAGAGGGATTGAGGTGGGGAGGACTGAGCCAAGTGACCATCCTCAGAAAGTCTCAGGCTTGGCCTTCCTTAGAAAGCCACCCTGGCCCTTCATCTGCCCCCACCACCAGACAGATCACTTAGCATCTCCAGTGCCAGTAAGGACACCCGCCACAGTGAACTCTGCCTTGGTGACCTCAGCCCACTAGCTGGCCAGGCAGTGGTGTGCCCTCCTGCCACCCCGGTGCTCTAGGAGCCTGTGGCCAGAGCTGTCCCTCCGTGGCCCCTGAGCTGTGTGCATCTCTGTTGGCTGGAGCCTCCCGCCAGAGAGCAAGGCTAGCTCACGTGGGCCAGGGCACGTGGGGTTTGCAGGCAGAGTGCACAGGCCAGCAGAGCCCCGATGCTAGGTCCTGGGCCTGGCTGAAGCGGTTCTGCAGAGGGCCCAGGCGCCCATGCCAAGAGTACTGCCCTGGGTCCTCATCACGGGGCAGGCCTGCAGACATCCCTCACACCCTGCAGACTGAGAGAGGGTCCTTCACAGACGTGTACAGCCCAGGGGCCATGAGGGATAGCTCTGGTCACAGGCTCCCAGAGGGGACAGAAGCCCAGTCCCAGGCAAGGCAAGGGACCTTCACTTGCCTCAGGGGCAGGGGTGCACACTCTTTGGAAGGTGCAGCAGCCACGCTGTCCCTCACAATAGGCCTTCAAGGGCTGGCTCAGCCCCCACTCCCATGGGCACAGCTTGCCCTGTGGCACAGGGACTAGTGAGCCCACCCCTGGGCCTATGATCTGCACTCCCTGAGCACCCAGCCTGGCACACCCTGGACTCTCTGCCCCTGCCCAGAGGAGGCAGACTAGCCCCAGCCTGCCCCAGCTGACCCCGCTGTGGCTCACCCCTGGCCTAGCCCCAGCCCTTTGCCACCTGTCTGCTCCCCAGAGCAGCTACCTCATGGCCTTCAGCAGAGAGAGCGGAGGAGCTCTCATGGGGGCCTGCCACCCCCACCCAGACCTTCCCAGGGTAGGCTCACAGACCCCTGCCCTGCCCGGTCCTCTCCAAGCCTGCGCCGGGTCAGACATGGTGCCAGTGGCCACGAGTTAGAACTGCACAAGGTTTATTGGGTCTGCAGAGAGGAGGGGGAGTGGCCAGGACTCTGCTTCTGAGTTGAGTCCCCATCCCAGAGTCTCACTGGAGATTGAGGCGGGGAGCCACCTGGCTGAGGAACCAGGAGATGCCAAAGATGACGCCAAGGGTCTTGGGGATGTCCACGTTGTCCACGAAGGCCTGGGCACTGTCCAGAGGCAGGTGCACGACCTCAATGAGCTCACCCTCTTCCACCAGGCCCCCTCCTGGCCCACCTCGCTGGGCATCTGTCACCTCTGCATAGAACATGGTCTGGCTAGAGCCGGTCAGTCCTACTCCAGACCTGTGAGGGGAGACAGGGCCTGCTGACCCACCACGGTGATCCTATGAGTCACCCTGCCCCTTTCGCTTCTTTCCTTCTGACCCAGGTGGGACTCTGGGTTGCCCCATCCCTCCCCAGATTCCCACCCATGATGTGTATTCTGGTGCAACACACCCTTGCATGGGGGGAACTGGGCACATGCTGGGGTGTGCCTTCCAGGACTGGCCTAAGTGTCAGAGGTGGGCGGGTTCTGCAGCTGTGATTTAGGACCTTTGGCTGATCTGAGTCTACCCCAAAGGACCCTAATCAGGCGAGCTCTCAAGAGAGGTTTCAAGGTCAGAGGTGGAGAAAATGAAAGAGACACTGTCTTTCTGGCCCTCAGGACAAAACAACCTGCTGTGTTGCATGGGGGCATGTGGCAGGGACCTGCAGGTAGTGTCAGAAGTTGAGAGTGGTCCCTAGCCAACAGCCATCAAGGAAACGGGCCCCCTGTCCCGTGGTCACAAGGAGCTGAATTCCGCCACAACTGTGTGAACTCAGAAGAGGACCCACGTCTGGATGGGTCTCTGAACTGCCTGACAACCCTGACCGCAGCCTGCACCTAGCAGAAGACCACAGCCTTGGACTCTACTTGAGGTCATGAAGGGGTGCCACATGACACCACCATGTCTGTGGCAGGCTGCTCTACCGATGGCCCCTCCTGCAGCCCCTTGCCCCTCACCCTCTGGCCGTCTAGTCAGGGCCTCTTTCCCCGCTGGCCCAGCCCACAGCCCCCTCCTTTAGCTGCCAAGGTCTCTGCCAGACCTCTGTCTGCACCCGGGGGCTCCCGGCTGATGGGCAGAAGACAAACCCAGCAGGCCCAGTGGTTACAGGTGAGGTCAGCATGGGCCAAGGCAGTCAAGGTGTGGGACTGGGGCGCTCAGCATGGCAGTGTAGGATGGGCTGGCAGCAAGACCCCCGGGACTGGCCATTGGTCCTCGGCTGGAAATGGGTGAGGTGTTTCTGCCTCATGGTTAGTGGGCAGTAGCCCAGACTGGCATGGACAGGGTCCCAAGTGGTGACTGCCAGCCATGAAGATGGGATGGCCAGGGGCCAGGCTGAATTCCAGAACAGGAGGGGTGAGCAGGTGAGCAGGGTTGCCCCTCCCCAGGCGGGTTCCAGTTTCCCTCACTCCTTAGCTAATCACTGGCCCTCCTGGGCTTTGTTTTCTGTGTCCAGCAGGTGAGTGCCCTGGCTCACCTCCGGTAGGCTCTGCTGTCTGCCCAACCTCTGCAGGCCACAAGGACCGCTGTGCTGACCTCCATTCAGCTCCTCACGGCCCCACCCTCCTCTCCAATGCAAGTCTAAGCCAGATGTCCCACGGCCCCCAACCCTTCGTGGCTACCCGGCATCGTCAGAGCCAGGCCGCAGCCTGTGAAACCTCTTGTCCACTTGCCCTTGAAACTCTGCCAGGACCCCGCCTGGCTCACCTTGTCCAGAGGACCCCAGCCCCTCTAGGTACCTCCCACCTCCCTTCCATCCCTGCGTGGTCCACTGCCCTGCCCACTGGCCAATCCTCTAAGCAAGATCAGGGCCCTTGGATTCTCCCTGTCCCACCACCCCAGGATAGAGGGGTCAAGGGCCACATGGAGGACACCTGCAGAGAAACCAGCCAGCCCTTCACATTCACAACCTTCAACCTTGAGCATGGAAATCCTGCCTTGTGTGGAGACCCTGCCCCATCACAGGGCTGTACCTGGTGAGGTCCTGGAGCCCAAAACAGAGTGACCATGTGCTAGGCTGAGAGGTGGCAGAGGGACTCTCCTCCTGCCCCAGACCTTGGCTGGAGTCAGGGAGCTTTACCCTAATATCCTGTCTGAGAAGGTGGTCCCAGCCAGCCTGCCTCATGGAGGCAAGGAGGGGACATCTGGCTTAGCTGGGATGGGTGCTGAAGCTCGGGCTTTGCCTCTTCCCCTCGCTGAGAGCTGCCCCTTGGGCCCAGGACTGGCCTCTCCTCATTCCTGAGCCTCCATCTGAGAACAGAGCTGTGACTCACCCCACCCCCAGCGTCCCGGTGCTTAATCCCACAGGAAGTGAAGGCATCTGTCAGCAGCAGCTGCCACTGGGAGTTGGCCCCACGTGGCTGGCCCGCAGGGTGGGGACCTGCACCAAGCATGTTCCAGGCCCCAGGAACCCTGGGTTCTGGACTTGCTGAGGATCTGAGGTGTGTCGGTCCACCCTCTCGATCCCACGTGGAAAACCAAGGAGGAGTCTGTCCTGCCCCAGGACAGCAGACGCCCTGCCCCAGCCCCTCACCTGTACGTTGCGACCTGGTGCAGATCAGAGGGCGCCAAGCGGTAGCCACACTCCTCCCAAGCCTCCTTGCACGCCACCTCCTCCAGCGAGAGCCCGGGCTGATCCACAAGGCCAGCACACAGCTCAACTGTCACCCCCGCTGAGCCAGGCAGCGTGGGCTGCAGTTCTCGGGGCTGGTCCTGGTCCACATGGGCCAGCGACCCTGGGAAGCGGCGCTCCACCTCACCTGCATACACAGCTGGCGGGGGAGGACACAGCCATGCGGTGGTTACCCCCAGTGACTGCTGGGAGCCTGACCCTCTCACCAGGCCTCAGTGTCTCCTGGAGGTCCCCACACCTGCACGCAGTCCCTCAACTGGAAGTGCCCTATGGATCCCTCCTCCCCACCTCCCACCCGGCTGGCCTCACCTGGCCGGAACTGCTTCACCAACACCAGGCTCCTCTGAGAAGAGTTGAACAGGAGAATGGTCACGCTGTGTGGGGGCGGGGAGCTCAGCACACAAGTGGCCCCACCTCCCCTCCCTGGGGGACCTGGTTCCCATCCTCCTATCCCCAGCATGCCCCCCTCCCTCTTCCCAGCAGCCCAGAAAAGTTGGCCCCTTGCTCAGATGAGGATACTGAGGCCCAGCAGGGCCAGACTTGCTAGGGATACATGGTGAGGCCGGGACCTGGACCTACTGTATTCTGGCTAGCAGGAAAGGGGACAGGACATGCTGGGCAGCTTACTGTGTCAGGAGGGGCGTGGAGGCCGGGTAACTGACAGGACACTTGGCCCCTGCTAGCTGGCTACACGACTGCCACACCCCTCAGGCCACCTACATCTCCACCCAGGCTGCACCCCAGTGCTGGGGCAAGGACACCAGACTGGACTCCCAGCTCCAGGAGGCCCAGCCTGCTACCAGGATCCAGGTGGTCTGAGCCAGGACCCAACCAGCTGTCAGGCCTCAGGCTGACCTCTCAGGGACAGGATCGCCAAAGGCGGGCCTGAGGGAAGGGTGACTGAAGACCATAGGGAGGGCAGAAACTAGGGGTTGGGTGGACCCCCAGCCCAGGGCTCCGTGTATCCAGAAATTCCCAGCCACCAGGCCAGGCCCTCACCTGTCATGGGTCTTCATGAAGTCCCACGACTTCTGGACACCATTCTGAAAGAGGCAGGGCAGCAGTCAGGAGGGCCAAGGGCTGCCAGCATGTATGGAGGCCCTGGGAGCTGAGGCCACACAAAGCCACTCCACAGGGCAGCGACACCCACTCCTGGCAGGGAGCCCTGCCCACAGCCTGGCCCACGTGAGCTAGGAGCCTCGGTGGGTGGGGAGGAGGTCAAGGGCAACCTGATCTCCTGAGGGGCAAAGGGCAGAAAGATGTCCCATGGGCACAAGGGGCTGCAGAGGTGTACACTGTCACAGGTGTGGGAAGCATCAGAATCCAAGAAGGGCCAGCTGACACCTCAGAGTCAGGGCAGAGAAGATCCCATGCAGGCACAGCAGAGCCAGGTGTTCATCACTGAAGCTGGGCTACTGGGAAGCGGGAGACAGGAGGCAGGAAGGCCAGCTGGTCTCCTGAAAGGGGCCCAGCCCCCAGAGCAGCTGGGCTGTAGAGAGATCACGCTGCAGAACTGACTCGCGGATGGTGGCTGCAGAGTGGGACATCCTTCCCCACCCAGCTCTGGCTTGGGCTGTATCTCACACATCCCACAGTCCTGCTTCCCCACAGGAAGGCTCCCAGTGTCCAGCAGAACACAGTGGATAGAGGGGCTGAAGGGGCAGGGACTGGACCCAGCAGACTGGGCCCACAGGGCAGCCAGAATTGACGCCAGTGGATTGAGTGTGAGGGGCCCAGAATACCACCAACTGGTCTCTGTTCATGGGGCCAGACCTGAACCCTGCCCATGACTGTCCATCCCTGGCCTATTGGCCCACCTGCCACTCAGCCTCTGGGTCAGCCCCAAGGCCCTGGCCAGCCCAGGACAGATGATGGAGCTCCATCCAAGCTGGTGAACTGTGGTTAGGGTTAGGGTTAGGGTTAGCTCCAGAAGAAGGGGCGCACCCTGTGAGGACTTCCTACAGGAGGCACGGGAGGGAGCGGGCACTCCGGTCAGGGAGCATCACAGTAGAGGCCCAGAGGAGGCAAGCAGGCCAGATGAAGCCGAGCTACAGGCAGAGGTGTCGGGAGGGGCGTGGCATCAGGTTTCCAAGGAGAGGGGAGGGCCCACTTCCTGTGCAGGTCAGGCTGTCCCAAAGGTGGCTGAGGCACCACCCACAGGCAAGCCCAGGCCTGCTCAACGTCTGGCCACCCAGGGCCAGCTTCCCACCCAGGTAGGCTCCAGTGAGGGCCCCCCCGCAGCCTACAGTGAGCCTTCAGTGCCTACACCTGTCATGGCCTTCCTTTGGGTAAATGTTGCCCTGTGTAGGTCTCAGGGACCCTCTCGTCTGCAGATCAAAACTGTCAGACCCTTAGGTACAAAGGTACAGGGCAAGGTCCAGAGAGACCCACTAAGACCCTGGGAGGGAGGGACAGGCCAAGGGTATAAAGGCAGTCCCATCCTCTTGAGGGCCAAGGTTTCCCCTGCTTCTGGTCCACTTTATCTGTCCACCAGGCCTCCCCTGGCCAGGTGAAACAAACAACCATGAGTTGCAGTTGTCCCCATGGTGTCCCTTGGCCTCTGAGGGAGTGCCGCCTGGTCCCCCATATCACATCCACAGCCTGTCCCCTGTTCAGGTCAGCTTTGGTTATCAGACTCTCAGTGGAAATATGCTGATGGGCAGCCCCCCAGGGGCCACACCACAGCTTTTCCTGGGAAGGTGGAGAGATATCTCTGGCCATCAGCCACAGCTGGAGCATGCCTGGACCACCCTGCACCCACTCACTGCCTACAAGGACCCTTGGGGGACTGAGCAGCCACAACCAAGCACCCTCATATCCACCAGCCTCTCTGCCCCAGGCCAGCAAACGGGAAAAGAACAGAAATCCATGTCCCCACCACGTTTGTCCCTTGACTGGCCCTAGCTGCTCCCCCAGACCTGCAGTGTCCTTGGCTTCACCCTGGAGAGTGGAATTCCCTGTCCTCTGGAGCCATGGGACCACCACAGCAGGGAAGGGGAGAGCTGGGGCCTCTCAGGCTGGGCCAGCCAGAAAGGCCACACAGGGCTGGCAGGAAGCAGGCACGGGGATGAGATGGGAGGGACATGGTGTGAATCCATGGGCCAGGCGGAGGGACACCAGGGGTGGTATTGGCTGAGGCTGGGAGGGCAGGGGCACAGAGGAACAGCACAATGGTAGCACGTAGGGCAAGCAGGCAAATACAGTGCCCACCTGGATGGGACCAGGCACTGGCCGACGATTAGGAGGAAGGTGGCCAGGTCTGGGTAAGGGAAGAAAAGGCCATGGGCTACTCATCCACCCACCAAGTGTGAGCCTACTATGTGTCAAGAGCGGTAAGTGCAGCCATGCTGTGGGGGTGATGCTGGGGAGGGCAGAGGTGCCTTCCCTGTGAAGACCCCTGGGAGCCCACCTTGAGAGGCTCCCTTTTCTGCCTCCTCCCTCCCAGCCTTGGTGCTCCAGGTTCCCTTCTCCTCTGCCCAGTTATCTCCTCCTTCCAGTCTTAGCCGGAGGGCCACCAACTCCGGGATGCGTGCCCTGACTTTCAGGGCGACCAGTGAGTCTGACTGCAAAAAGGGACAGGTGGGCCAGGCGGGAAGGCAAAGCTCCTTTGAAGGGGTAAGAGTCCACGTGCCGCGGCCGGCCCGAGGCGGAGCCTGGGGTGGGGGCGGGCCCGGGGGCGTGGTCTCTCTGGGCGGGGCGTCGCGGAGGCGGGGCGAGCCGGCGTAGCGGAGTGGGCAGGCCGGGTGTCGCGGGGGGGCGCGGGGGTCGGGGCGCGGAGCGGACTCACCTGGCGGTAGTGCAGCGTGAGCGGCCGCATGTAGGAAGAGCTGGCGCAGCGGCCCACGGCCACCCCCTCGATGCGCTCCATGGCGGCGCGGGGCAGGTCCGGCCCGGGCTTACCGGGGAGCGAGGCGCTCTCCCGTCGGGAGCTGGCGCGCGTGTGACTGTGGCTCTGGGCATGCCCAGTGCGCGCGGGGCGGGCCGTGGCGCCCAGGTAGCACCTACCAAGTGCTGCACGCGGGCAGGGCGCTGGTTGCCCCGGTGCTCCGCGAGCCGCGCGGAGGGTGTGAACCCGGGAAGGACTCGCCAGCAGACCTCAACCGCTGCCCGCTGCCCGCTGCCCGGGAGCGTGCGGGCTGGGGCGCGGCGTGCGGGTGGTACGTTTGGGGGGAGGAAGGGAGGGAGCCGAAGGCCTGAACCTGCGGGGAAGTGAGCCCTGGGATGCCTGCCCTTCTGGGGTCTGTGACAACCCCATGATCAGGTCGTCCTAGGGCGGAGCAAGGGCGGCAGCCCTCCAAGAGCAAAAATGCTGGGCCCTGGCAGAGAGTTACCGGAGCCCGAGGTCTGGGCAGCCTCGTGGATCCAGGAGGGAGGACCGGGTGAACCCCGTAGGGGAAAGTGTAGACACCTCTCAGCCATTCGTTGGAAGGAGGGCTCTGAGAGGACTGGAGGAGAGGTGAAGGGACTGGGGTGGAGTAGGGGGCCCAGGCAGAGCCTGGCTGTCTCTCCTCCAGATTCCCAGAAAAAGGAAGTGGCCTGAGCCGACAGCCCACCTGCTGCTTGGGGGAGGAGTTGCCGATTCCTGTCTGTCTCTGGGGCTGTCCCTCCATGGTTGCTGTTCCCGCTCCAAGAAGTCCCACCCTTCCAACAGCCTCCAGGCAACTGGAATTCTTCCCTGGACAGACCACATGTCACCACTGCCTTCCCAGGGGCAGGTTAAAACCACTGGGTGGTGGAGCTGAGGACCTTTGCTATTGAGCCCTGACCTGCACCTGTTCTTTGAACCGTGTCTTGGGGTGTCGGGGATGGCCATGTGGATTTTAGATTGATTCCCAGGTCCCTGTTAGCTTTTGCTCCCCAGAACTTCAGAACTTTAAAGCACTGTGTCCCTCCTACTCTGTGAATTACCACAGCTCCCCTAGGCAGCTCTGCTTGGGTCTTTGCAGTGGCAACCAGGTGACAGCTGGATCTGGAGTCTTCTGAAGGTTAAACCAGGGTGGGCCATCCTCAGGTAGGTGGCATGTGGCCTTTCCCGTGGCTAGTTGGGGCTTCCTCACTGCATGGATTCTCCATGGTATCTGGCTCTCCCGGCATGTGTGTGTCAGGCCAGGCAGAACTGTTAGACTTCTATGACTCGGTGTCCAGTGTCATGTAGAATCATTCTCACTGTGTCCTATAAGTCAGAAAGAACATTCTGGGCCACCACCTTTCCAAAGAAAGGAAATGTCACAAAGTGGGACCTGTGATCCAGAACTGTCATCTGAGACTGGCCATCATCCTCTGTGACTGTAGGGGACTGTGTTTTCCAGCTTTGGCCTGGCCAGCCTAGTGTCCTGGAGGGCAGAGAGACCACACACCAGTGAGCCCCTCCCGGAAGCTGGCCCACCACAGCTGGGCAGACCCAAGCAGGCAGGCCAGGGCAGGTGGCTGAGCAGGTGGCCCCAGCCCATGAGACCAGGCCCTCTGCCTCCGGCCTTGGTCTGAGCTGCAGCTGGAAGCTCTGTGATTTGTCTTCAGGATCGGAGCAACCACAGGCAGGAAGTGTCTGTGCTAGAGTGAGACTCCCCGAGCCCTGCAGTGGGAAGGGGCCTGCCTGGCCATTGGCTGTGGCATGCTGAATTCCGACTCCTCTCCAGAAACAGCATGTGGCCTTTTCAGTGCAGGCAGAACGTTTTCCAGGCAGATATCTGGTCCATCTCTGAGCTTGGCATCCTGGGGGCTTTGGAGACCTTGTCTAGGGCGTGTGTAGAGGTAGAGACAGCACCTGGGGTGGGACAGAAGGACCCTCTGTAGGTTCCTGTGGGTACTGGCTGAGACAAGCTTCTGCAGACTCTGTGGCTTACAGCCTCGCAGCTCTGGAGGGCAAGATCCCAGGTAGGGTGTTGGCAGGGCTGACCCCATCTGGTGCCCCAGGGAGGTGGCATTCCTTGCCCTCTGCAGCTTCTACAAGCACCCCCACTCCTGACACTTGCTGCCCCTTCCCGTCTTCAAAGCCAGCAGCAGGTGTCTCTGTCCTTCCACTTCTACCCCTTATCTTCTGACCCTGCAGCTCCCTCTTCCAAGGATTCTGATAACCAGGGTCACCCCATCTCAGGGTCCTCACTTCATCCCATCTGCAAAGTCCTTTTTGCCATGTGAGGTCCCAGACCACAGGTTCTGGGAACAGGTGTGGACACACAGCAGGTACACACTGGGAGAGATGGTACCACATCCAGGGTGGAGCCCTGGGTCCTGAGGGTCCAGGATCTGCAGGTCTGCAGGACACTGATGCTTTCCTTTCTGTATAAGGGGAGTGGGGCAAGTTCCCCTGCAAAGGATGGGGTGGGAGGGAGGGAGGGATTCAGAGTGGTCCCAGGGTGAAGAGGGTAGCGGCAAGGGAGGCTGGGGGCCCAGTAAGCAAGGCCTCTGGTGACACAGGCTTTTGGGCAACGTCCAGCAGCCTGTCAGGTAAAGAAGTTGGCAGCTGGGTGCCTGGCAGGCTGGGGGGTCTGGAGAATTCAGCATGCCACCCTGGGAGCTGCCAGCAAGAGGACCAGGTGAGGGGGTGGGGGTGGGAAGGGGGACTGAGGGAGTGGTGACTCTAGGGCACAGAGGCTCCCCACATGGCATTGGGCAGGGCTGGGCTGCTCTGCAGGTCTGGCTTTAAGAGGCCCAGCCTCAGTCCTCCTGTGTGCCAGGCATGTCAGAGCAGGGCCCTGAGGGACAGCATCCTCAGCCACCCCCAAGTGCCATGCCATGCCACACTGGAGCCTGGTGGCCAGCTCCCACCAGCACAGACAGGCTCCAGAGACCTCCCTCCACCAGCTCCGGGGATTGCCTTCCCAGCTCCCACCTGAGACCCTTGGCCCTTTGGCCTGGGTCTCAGTGGGAACGGGCATTAGCAGCTGGAGACCATGCGTGAGACACACATTTGGGGCCCCTGGCCTACCTGGGAACACTTGTTATGCCTCATGCCGGGTGGAGGCTGGGCTGGCGCAGAGCTCTGATGGAGGCCACTTCCCTTCGGCACCAGAGCAGCACCTTCTGTCCCTCGCCTGCAGGGGCTGCTTTGGCTCTCAAGTCATGCTGGGCCTCCTGTGGACTGGATATCTGTCTGGAAAATGTCCTGCCTGCACTGAAAAGGCCACGTGCTCTCTGTGGGTACCTTGCTGTGGCTGCTTGACTGTCGTCTCTGGAAGAGGAGTCGGAGAGGCACCTGGAGCACCAGGTGGCGCCTGGACTCTGGGCTGCAGACAGCAGAGCTGCCTCACATGTGTGGCAGCCACAGCTCTGTCAAGGTCTGCACTCTGCCTGCTGCTGTTCCCGTTCAGACAGGAACAGAGCTTCAAGAGGCTGAGTGCCTGGGCGGTGGGGGGCATCGCTGTCACTCCTGTGGCTTTGGTCACCAAGTGAACAAAAACCCCTCTGGGAGCCGGGCACCGTGGCACACGCCTGAGGCAGGAGGACTGCAGGTTGGAGGCCAGCCTTAGCAACCTAGCAAGACCCTAACAACTTAGCGAGGCCCTTTCTCACAAAGTAAAAAGGGCTGGCGGTGCGGCTCAGTGGTCGGGAGCACCTGCTTTGATCCCCAGTGCCCCCCCTACAAGACTGTAGTGCCCATCGACAGGTGGATGGGTGTCTTTGCTTTTTTGCTGCTGTGACTAAAGGGACTCGACCAGCACAACTGTAGAGGAGAAGTTGATTTGGGGACTCACGGTTTCAGAGGCCTCAGACCAGAGACAGCAGGCCCCACTCCTCGGGGCTCAAGATGAGGCAGGACATCATGGCCGAAGAGTGTGGCCCAGGGAAGCAGCTGACACGTGACCAGGAGGCAGAGACTCCTCTCTCCAGATACCACTTAGTCACCACTCAGTTAACCCCACCAGGGGGTTGACTCTCTGGCTGAGGCTCCCCCAGCCCGGTCGTGTTTCCTCTGACCTTCCTGCATGGTCTCGCGTGGACCCTTGGGGGACACCTCTCATATAAACCCTAACGATGGGCAAACAAATGTTGTCCCTGTGGTGGACACCACTCAGCCTTAAACCACGGGGTTTGGCACAGTATGGGGCCTGTGAGGATGTGGGCTGAGTGGAATGGCCTAGTCACTCGGAGCCATACCCGTATGATGTACTAACAGGTGTCCCCAGAGTGCTCAGTCACAGGGACCAAGGGTGCAGGGGCCACGGGGTGGGTGTTATCACTTCATGGGGACAGAGCTTCGGGTTAGGAAGATGAAAACGTCCTGGAGGCGGATGGTGGCGGTGCTTGATGTGCTTAATGCCACCAAGCTGTTCACTTGAAAATGGTCCCAGCAGACAGGTGTGGATGCCTGTCATCCCAGCAACTAGGAGGCTGAGGCAGGAGGATCACAATTCCAGGTCAGCTGGCAACTTAGTGAGGCCCTGCCTCAAAATAAAAAGTAACTCACTGATAAAGCTCTTGCCTGCTGTGCTGGAGGCCCTGGGTTCAAATCCCAGTACTGGGGGGAAAATGATCAATGTTTTTGCATTTAACAAAATAAAGACTCCTCAGGAACTGTTAGTAGTGGCTGACTCCAGTTAAAGAGCCTTGCTTTTCTATATATATATGTATGTGTGTGCCTCCCACGTGCTAGGCAAGCACTCTGCCACTGAGCCACGGCCCCACCCCCAAGAGCCTTACTTTATATCTTTTATTTTATTTATTTATTTTTATGTGGAGTTGAGGATGGAACCCAGGGCCTCGCATGTGCTAGGCGAACACTCTACGCTGAGCCCCAGCCCGGCCCCTTACATTATAGTACTGTTGTAATTTTGCCGTGGCATGTATCACTCTTTCAATTTTTTTTTTTAAAGAAACTTTAAAAAAAAGCCAAAGATGGTAAATTTTTTATTATATGTATTTCACAAGAATTAAAAGATTGGGGGGATACGTCAGGTGCCACTGCATAGGCAAGG